CTGACATTATCCAAAAATTACGGGTTATCAAAGCGGTTATAACCCTCGGTCCAGAATGACACGTGACTAAATGCCAGTGTCGAACGATCAACTTAGCTAAGTGTGACGTCTTGGGTAACAGCATGGGCTGCTTCTGAGGAGTTGGTAGATCAGCGTGATGTAGTCTACCGCCAATGCGGATCAGTCCGTTAGAGTCAATGAATGGGCGGAGACGAGCGTATGAGCGTGATGGAGTTCGGTCCGCATCCAGGGTGATGAACAATCCAGACAACAACAGACGCTGTGATGCTCGGACAATACTGACAAGTGACTCCTGAAGCTCAGATGCCTGCAAGAAGGCAAATGGGTACTCCTTACGCTTACAGCGGAAAATGAAGCGGCGTACCCACGATATGACACGAAGCATACGGTTATACGAAGAGAATCGACAAATCCATTCAGATGGTTCACCGACAGTTACGGTAAGGGATATGATCGTCGTTTCCGGTAATTGTTCCACTGGAATGGGAGTCGGAGACGTGTCCCAAGTATCGACAGCAGCATATAAAAACTTCGGGCCACACCAGTACAACGAATGGCTAATCAACTCAGAGGGTAGCATTCCCCTGGAGGCGCAATCCGCAGGGTTGATATCGGACCGGACATATCCCCATTGGCAGTGTGGTAGAAGTGTATGTATTTGATGCACACGATTGGAGACAAATACCTTGAACATAGAGTGAGGTTTGACCAACCAAGACAACACTATTTGTGAATCAGACCAGGCAAAGGTAGAATCTACGTTCAGTTTATCCTTTAATATCTTCAGAAGACGATACATCCACCGAGCAAGTAGGACAGCGGCACATAACTCGAGTCTAGGCACAGTGGAAGTCTTTATAGGAGCCATTTTTGTTTTGGATCCAAGTAGCGAGATGGAGACTGAGTGATCATGTGTGATCGTGCGCATATATACTACTGCCGCGTATCCTTTTTCTGACGCATCGCAGAAACCACACAGCTGAACACGTGACTGCATTTGCGTAGAAAGGAAACGAGGTACGTGAACTTTTGATAGTGACGGAAGACTATCGACGAAGACGGACCAGAAACTGACTAAATCTGGTGGTAGAGGGTCGTCCCAGGATACGTTCGTCTTCCAGATCATCTGCATTATGTGCTTAGCATAAAATATGACCGGAGCAAGAAATCCGATAGGGTCATAGATTCTTGCGATGGTGGACAGAACGGTACGTTTTGTCGGAGTGTGGGATGACGGGCATACGTTGAACCCGAACACGTCCATTGAGGGATTCCATTGAAGACCCAAAACTTTTGTCACACCACCTTCTTTATCATCGAAATTAATGACGTCAGAAGCACGGTCATCCAAAGGCACGGCTGACAAGATGGATGGCACATTACTTGACCATTTTTTGAGGTCCAGCCCAGCGCGGCCCAAGACAAGTTGCAGATCGGATTGCAGCTCAAGAAGTTCATTGGTAGTATCAGCTCCAACGCATACGTCATCGACATATGTATGATGCAACAACGCATCATTAACCGTCGGGAAGTCAGTGCCCTCTTGGTCTGCTATGTCTTGGAGCACTCTTAGGGCCAGGTAGGGGGCACAATTCACGCCATAGGTGACCGTGTTAAGCTGATATTCCCTCAGTTCATCCGTTGGTGACGCCCGCCAAACTATGTGTTGAAATGACCGGTATTGCTGATGTACCAAAATCTGACGGTACATTTTACACACGTCAGCCGTGAATGTGAACTTGTGTACCCGGAACCGTAGGAGGATGTCGACGATGTCTTGTTGCAATTTAGGACCAGTATGCAGACATTGGTTTAACGAAAGCTTGTTCGATGCCGTTGCAGAAGCGTCGAAGACAACTCGTATCTTGCCCGATGTTGGCGAGCCCTTAAACACCGGGTGATGTGGTATGAAATATGAACCTGGGTTAGGGGCAACAGACATATGTCCCAACGATTCATATTCATGCATAAACTGCCTGTATGCTTGGCCTAAGGTGACATTGTCTTGGAGCTTCTTTTCCAAATTCTGGAAGCGGCGTACAGCTATTTGTTTGGAACCGGGAAACGTCTCGGCCCGGTGGTCGCTGAGAAATGGCAGTGGAACGACAAATCGTCCCGTAGGGTCACGTGTCCGTTCTGACACGTAAATACTTTCACATTGACCGTCCTTGGTAAATGTGTCTAGAACTGTGTCCGGCTCCTCCACTTGCCAAAACCGTTGGATTATGGTCTCTAACGAGATAGTAAGTGACACGACATTAGATTGGAAGGATTGAGATACAGAGCCTTGAACAGGGCCGATGATGATCCAGCCAAACAAGGACCCAAAAGCAACGGGCAACGAATCATTGACGACAATGCGTTTACCGTCCATAATCTGAGAATATACATCAGCTCCTAGGAGTAAATCTATAGGATCGGAACGATCAAATCCTGGATCTGCAAGCGCTAAGTGACTGAAGTGCTGTCTAACTTGAGGCGCGAGGTGATAGATGGGCATGTTACCGGTGATTTTCGGAAGGATCCAAGCACTGACGTGGATGCGGTGGTCGTCATATCGAGGAGCAATTATGCACTTGACTAAACCGTCGACGTTGGAAACGGCAACACCGGATACACCTGTGAGAGGTGCGGTCCACTTCACTCGCCGTAAGCCCAGCCGTTCGACACATGACGTTGACATGACGCTTATCTGTGATCCAGAATCAATAAGAGCACGTATCTGCTGCATACAACCGGCATGATCTCGGACGTGCAGCAAAGCAGTACCCAATAGTACTGTAGACGTATCCCGAGCGCTGACCACTGACACCTGGGGCGGCAAGGGTTTCTCGATTTCCTGGAAATCCCTGTGAAGGAGAGTATGGTGACGACCAGAGCACTTGTCACACGGCTTGGTTACCTTGCAACGGTTTGACCAGTGCGTTGAATTTAAACAACGAAAACACACCCTCTTGTCACGGGCGGTCTGGTAACGGGCGTCCATTGACAAACTTTCAAAATTTGGACATTGGACTGTCGGATGCTCTTTAGAACAAAACAAGCATTTTAAGGTCGGAGCATTCGGCAGCTTTGAAGTATGCAGGGTTACCTTGAACCGTTTTTCATCTTGTCGACGTGGAGAGGATTTAGGTCGTTCTGGTTGTGCTGGTGGACGATGTGAAGTGCTGGTGAAGTTGACAGCTTCCAAAATAGACACACGATTTTTGACATAAGTTACAACATCAGCTGCCGTAGGGAATTCGTTCCTATTGACAGCCTCGAATCCTTTACGGGTAGATAGAGGCAGACATCGTGCGGAAAGCGAGAACAACAAAAACTCACCTAGATCAGGGATGTTCAAAGATTCAAGTGTCGAAACCTGGTCAGAGAACACTGTTAAGAAATCCTTTAACCCGACTAACGATTCCTGAGACTGAGCTGGTATCGATATTAATTTATCGACGATTAAGGAGGCCAGCTGACGAGGTTTATCAAAACGTTCTACAAGTGTGGTCCACGCTAGATCATATGTAGCATCAGATACAACAATATTGCGAATGCTATGAAGAGCCTCATCCTTGAGGCAACCTAGCAGATAATAAAATCGGTCAATGTTAGACAGGTCAGTGCGTTCGACTACGCGCGCATTGAACCGATCTCGAAAAACAGGCCAATCTAAAAGGTCACCGCTAAACGTGGGCAATGGTATTTCTGGCAAACGCGGTCTACCTGAACAATTGTTACCATCGGACCGATTAGAACGTGTAGATTCTACCTGACTAACGTTATCATCACCTATCTGCGTTGGTCTTAGTGTTTCTGCCACAGCGATTGCTTGTATGTATAGGGAGCGAACTTCAGTTTCCTTTGTCAGCGAGAATTCAACAGACAAACCCAGGTCCAACAGAGCATAAAGAACCGCTTGATTATCGGCCACAAACCTTTCCCACAACGAATCTAGATCCCCCACAGCAGTTAAAAATTCATTACGTAAATCTGGATTAGTGGTAACTTGTTTGGATAGCTCGTGTATGGCCTGGATACGGTTAACAGTAGCGTCACGGGATATGATGGCAATCGTTTTCGTTCTTTGTAACGCCCTAAGCTGCCTAGCAGTATCATCATCCGATCCACCACCCGTCATTGTACGTTAGTCAGTAACGTCAACAACCAAAAACCCACAGCGTGTCAGACCAAAGACAAAATGTATAGCGTTATATACAAACCAGATTGACACAATTAATTATCAAGCAAGATAACTGGCTAAATAGGTATATACGATAGGTCGCTAGTGGAAAACACAGTATAACATTAATTAAGACATAAATTACGGGAACAGCTATAACCCAACTACCAGTCACTCATAGTACCTAACAACGCTCAAGAAAGTAATCAAATGAACCACGCTCTGCTACCAATGTTAACGCACGTCGTGTTCTTTCGTATCGCAGTTGACACGACGTACTCGCATTGTCAGGACTCTTAATGTAGCGTATGACAATTGATATTATTATACCAACGTAATAAAGGGGTACACCAAATTTAAATGTAATGTTTATATTATGTGACAGGCCTAAGAACGGCTGACATTACAAACGTAGCTGACTAGACGTCTCTAAGTCCAGCTACCAAATACAAACAGTAAAATAATATAATAATATATAACAACAATGATATGACTTATCTATACTACGGTGGAGGCGGCGCTGGTGTTGTCGAGCGGTAGAGATGGCCGGAGTAGGTGGTGGACGACGGGCGACGGCGTTGACCCATATACCGGTATAAAGATAGACCGACGGCGGCTGTGTTGCCACGACCTTCGATTGAAGATGGGATGGGCGGCGTGCGGTGGCGGCGGCGACGGCTCACTGTATAGCGCACTGCACCTAGCACTCAATTAGATCGGCGGCGGCTGAGTTTCGCGATCTTATGTAACGTGTACGCCACAACAATGTGAGGACGCACGTGACACAACAGTACTCGATGTGCACCGTTTGATGGCGACTGACGATTATAACACACGAGACGAGTATAATACGACGCGTAATTTAAAGGTAGACCAGCACAATATAACGGTCGGACGTCGGAACACCGGTCAATACCCACAAGGTCCCCACGGACGTCAAAGGCAGCGACGTCCGATGACAAGAGAGACGGGGCAACTGGTTGTAGACACACCGGCGCGCCGGCACAACATGCAAAATAGCCAGCCAGGTCGATACCACGTCGGGTGGGAAGGGGAATACGCAAGATTAGTCGGCGGCCTACAGGTAGAGTCGCCAACACTGATAGCGGCACGATTTTGCGACGACTTGCGTAAACAATACCAATTTTCATAAATTATCTGTAATTTTTCGGTAAAAGTATGAACTATTTGTATGAAAGACCTTGTATTAGTTGTATTAAATTGTCTAGCCTTAGCTATACACATTTAATATTTTATAAGTTTTGAGCTACAAATTAACTGTGGTTTTGACGAAATTTGAACTTTAAATGCTTATAAAAAATAAGCATGATTCCTATGTATCGTTAATATTTTAGCTATAATAAAAAAACTTACGTATTACATTTTTAAGCTTTTTGACCGGATAAATAATATTTTATTGACATTTATAGAAAACAAAAATTTAATTATTTAAATACAATCCAAGTGAAGACGGTATAACCAAACATTTAAATAAATTTTCATTTTTTTTTCTCAAATTATTTTTAAAAGCACTGAGCATTTTCAATTTCAACCTCCTAATAGTACCAACTAGATCCAATTTGCTTCCAAAAACATACACTGAGCATCGGAGCTTATGATCAGAGCATTTTTTCTACCAGAAAAGTTGAAAAGTTACAAACATTAAATAAACGTCTGAAATTATTAGACTGGACAAAATGAAAAGAAAATTGTAACTAATTTTCAAGCCCCTCCCATTGAAAAATCCTGCGGACGCCACTGCCTTTGCGCCTTTTATAATTCATTGTCTCCAAAATCGGTACCCACTCCCAGCGAGTCCAACGGGCCCCGAGTTACACTTAGAGCTAGTTATATAATATTATAGTTCGTAGGTACTTCGAGTTGTTCACAGTCGTTTCATGAAGGATAAAAACACTGGTAGTTGCACAGATTTCTATATTGGGTAGTTGTTACTCCATGATAACACGTATCAAATATTGATCTAGAATCGTGATTGTGGCAATCGGCGACGTCCCCAAATATAGATAACAAACAATTTATAATTTTTATACCGAAGTGGCTAAATTTAATGGAATTGAATGTTTAAAATATAGAATTTAAAATTATACAAGACAGTTAACTAAATCACACGATAAGTGCAGAATATTTTTTTGGAGAATTTTAAATGTTTAATACACCAATAATGGATTTTTCGTTACTGGTAAGTTAACTATTAAACAGGAAAATAATTATTGTAACTCAATATTCATGAACCCAACATTTACCAGGAACCAACATTGTACACAGTGAAGGGCATGACTATTTTGGACAATGATGGCAATCGCATACTGGCCAAATACTATGATGATAATATATTTCCAACGAATAAAGAACAAAAAGCATTTGAAAAAAACCTATTCAACCGCACTCATAGAGCAAATGCAGAAATTATCATGCTGGACGGAATAACATGTCTTTACAGAAGCAATGTGGACCTGTTTTTTTATGCCATGGGAAGTTCACACGAGAACGAAGTAAGTACACTGTCTGAAGTATATCATGTAAATTGCACATTTTATACATGGTATTTTTATATTTCAGTTGTTATTGATGAGCGTCTTACAATGTATGTACGATTCAATCAGTCAAATTTTAAGGAAAAATTTAGAAAAACGAGTTGTACTTGATAACTTAGATGTTGTCATGTTGGCGTTGGATGAAATTTGCGATAATGGGTAAAATTGCATCATATCTTATAATCGTAATATACTAATATGAGTAGATTGAATTTATATTATACTTTACACTACAGTCCTGTATTAATACATGTCTGCACACACTACTGCGGTGGCACTAAAATTCTACCGTATTGACAGTTCCGCAACAGTAGAGATAAATTTGGATAAATTATGTCACTTCTGTAGCCAGGGGCTAAAGTGGGAAAAAAATTCCAGAGGGGACTAATGTCTCCATATAGTTTTAAGCGTTCCATATATAATTTTATGTATAATGTCTAATGTATAAAATCTTAATTTGTGAAAGGGGGCGCTTTTTAACTGCCGACAGAGGTAGGGGGGCTGAGTCCTCCTGCGTCCCCCTCCCCACTTTAACAAGTTCACTGCATATCATATTGTGTTAACCTCTGACAGTAGCAGTAACATAAGTATGTTTAGACACTAAAAAATGTATTTTCTACAGTATTATATTGGAAGCCAATTCTGGTGCAGTTGTACAGAGAGTAGCACTACGAACCGATGACATACCAATTGGGGAACAAACTGTTGCACAAGTAAGCTATCTATTATATAATTAGTATTCTAATTATATATAATCGTATTATCATAACATAATATGTACATTTTTCTTTAGGTTTTCCAGTCAGCAAAAGAACAGCTGAAATGGTCATTATTGAAATAGTGCATATTTTTTAAAAATCTTTCAGGTATAAGATGTTAACATAATACATACCATTATTTCCATGGTTTATATAATACTATATATTTATAACTTATAATTAATACACATTAAATTTATAGATAATCTTGAGGAAATTGTAATTTGTTTTCTAACCAATTAGCAATCTTATGTCATCAAAATTTGATGCCATTATTTGTATGCTGATTGGCATCTTATTACTTGATAATTTTACTGGTATAGTAATAGCTGGACAACCTAGAATGTTAAATTATTATTGAACATAGTATACTCAATATATAAAACTCTATAATCTAGAATAATATTCAATAATTCTACACTTACCACTTACCAGTCATATTGCTGGTTGGGTACAATAATCTTGTGTAGCATATTGTGCACGGTTATCTAAAGACTTAAATTCAGATAGTAGTGGAGCGGTACTTAATGTAGTAGGTGTAACTAAAAAGTCATAGTTAGATTTCCATACGTTTTTAAAATCATCTGATATTAATCGTCTAACTTTTAATGATTGCATGAAATACTTTTCATAATATTACTGAAATCAAATAATAAATTATATCACAACCCCTTAAAAACATGCAATAATAGTATAATACTACTTGTGTCCCAAATGTATAAGCACTGGTAACTTGCAAATGTTTCTCATAAATTATTGTCACTGGTAAATTTTTTTTGATAAAGGTTCACAAACTTATGAATAGTCTTGTATTACATTTTCAAATCTTAGATTGAAAAACAAAAAAGTTTATGAATTTCTAACTAAAAATAATTTTAAGATTTCGCGGGTTTTCCGTATTTTGTTAATATTTGAACCTTAAATGCTTATAAAAAAAGGTGCTCTGCTGTACAGTAGGTTACAAGTGGGTCACTGAATAATGGATGGTTTTAAATTTGAATATAATGATGTAATATTTATTAATAATAATGATACATTAACAACAAACCCTGATACTATCATAGATATAAAAAAGAGTACTTTAGAAGTTTCAAGTAACCACGAATAATAATATACAATCCCAACAAAATAACTAAAATAGTTAATCTAGGTTTTTTCTTTTGTAATTTCGTACGAATTTGAACTTAGAATGACTGTAAAAAAAAACTGACCTTGTCTTTTTTTAGAGTTTTTGGTTACAGAATCAACTACTTACATGGAATATTGTTTTAAATTTTCATTTCTTAGATATAAAAGTTGAACAATTTATATATTTTTAAACACAAAATAATTATTAAATTTTAAATTTGATAAATTTTGTCAAATTTTGATCTTGAAATGCTTAAAAAAATAAATTGTGCATAAGTATTTTTAATATTTTTCAACTGCTGTTGTAACAATATTTCAGGAGCCTTGTATTAAATTTTTTAACTTTTTGGACCAACTCATGAAACTTCATTGGTATTCATAGAAAAAAAAATAAAAAAATTGAAAACTGACAATGCCCGTAAACGGCTCAAAAAGCTTCAAAATATTTTGAAAATTTTATCAACTATGAAAATTGTAAAATAAACATTCAGTAAAATTTTCATGTATCTGCAGTTATTCGTTTTTGAATTATATCCAAATAAGAAAATCGTTACATGAGAAATCGAGTGAATAACAAATTTTGTAAAAATATGAATTTAAAATACTTGTAGTAACCCGTCGCTCTCACTTGATTGGTTACTGCACACTTCTTTAACGACGAATGCACGTACACGTCGTCGCAATGAATCGGAGGATGGTGGTTGAAGTGAAGGTAGAGTAAGAATAGTTTAACACAAAATGTAGTTAATTATAGATATAATGTTTATTAACACGAAACTAATAATATAATTAATTTAAAGTAATTTAAAATTTGTCGACAGAATAATAATTCTACCGGAGAATAGTTGTAATTGAAATTATACTTGATGTGGACGGCAATGCGGCTGTTTCTAGTCCGCGACCCACACAAGTATTGTTAAGCACTGGTAATTACTTCTATGTCTAAAAAGTCTGTGAAACAGGGCCCCTATTTATATGAGACATGCCCGGGATTTAGGAAAGGATGATTGACGTCATAGGAATGGCGTGATGCGTAGTCGATCCGTATTAACCAATGAGGCGGCAGCCTCAGTGGCCTATTTTGGTGGCGTGATGTTGTTCAGGCCACCTAACCTTTGGAACGCCGTTTTTGTGTAAAAACGTCGGTTTACTACATTCCTCCCTTGTAAGAATGATACTCCGTATCATAAAGATGAAATGGTTGGATACACGGAATATGCCGTGCTCCGTGGTATTAGGGCTTCCTGCTTGATTACGTCGCTCGGTGTATGTCCGGAACTGAGGGTTGGTTTTTGGCCTTCAGTCACGTCGGGTTGCTCGGAAATCGGAAGTTGTACAAACTCTGTCTCTTGTCTGCGATCGTTTGCTTGTTCCCGCTGTGCAGTGCGCAAGTCAGCGCACCAAGGTAGTTTTTCCACCCAACTTGTCATGAATAGAATTAGACAGACGACTGTTATTGCACTAACTACATATAGTAAATAGTCATGTTTGTTTTTGCTGTATTTGATTTCTTCCGTTTCGTCGTTCTGTGATATTACTTCTTTTATTTCCGATGTAGATTTTGCAACTAAATTTAAGTCGAACATTTGATTTGTTCGTACGTGTTTATTTTTTAAAATGTTGTTGGTCAAGCCCGCATATGTTCCTGCGGGTTCCCTCATTCTGGAATTTGGTATGAAGTCGACATACTCGGTGTCGGTTTCCACTATGTG